TGGGTTGGTGGGTAGACAGACAGACAGACAGATCTGGAGATAGGGTACTCAAAGGAACATAATGGGATTTATTTCTTTTCCAAGGTCTTTTATTTATTTATATTCATTACTATGTGTATTTAAAATGTGCCATTAAACATTTTAAGTGAAAAATACATATACATTGATATTAAAAACAAGTAACATTTATGATCTCGTCTCACAGTTACTTTTAAATTGTATAATATTTAGTCAAGATTTGACACTGGCTGTTGACTATGGCCTGTGTCAGTTAGCTTTATAGATGTTGGCAGGAGCTGTGTGTGAGACATGGCTTCTGACATGCAGAGTTTATGACGATACAAGAAAGATTGCCTTTGTTGCCAGTTTTTAAAAAAACAACAGTATTTTGCATTTCTCAGTTATTTCTGAAACAAATAACTGAAAATGGAATTATTTTTTAAGGCTAGGAACAAATTAAATATGGATATTACAGCAGTTGAATGATTTTTTCAGAAATTTAAGATTATTGAAGTCTATAATATATAGTACCAAATGCCAGAACTGTAGAAGGTGTTTTTGAAACTTTCAGTATGCAGTAAGAGAAGTCGTTTGTTCTGATAGAAAACAAAAGATAGCACCAATTTTCTGCTGTTGAAATCCATTTCATTTGTGTAATGTTAGAGTTTAATTTAGGATGTGGGCAGGACAGACTGAAATTTTATTGTTGGAATCACAGCAGCCAGTGAGAAACAGGTGATCCTATTGCCTTTCCAGGAAATAATATGATCAGATTTATCTTTTTGAAAAAGTTAATCTGCTTCCATAAGAGGTAATAAAAATCACTATTTTAATGTGTGCTAACAGAGTGGTAATTTATTAGGTCTCTCCTTCCTGGAACACTCCAGTTAGAAAGCATTTCTATATTTAAAAGTGTCTCTTTAGTATTTCTAGTAGTTGTGCTTTTGATTTTTTTTTTATGCTTTGCCTAGAGAATGCCTTTTTATTTTATTTTTATCATTATTTTTTTGTTTTGTTTTGTTTTTTGAGACAGGGTCTCACTATGTAGTTGAGACTGACCTGGAACTCTCTATGTACCCCAGGCTGGTCTCGAACTCACAGCGATCCTCCTATCTCAGCCTCCCAAGTGCTGGGATTACAGGTGTGTGCCACCACGCCTGGCTGAGAATGCCTTTTTAGTGTTTTATGCTTAGAGAGTTCCCTCTAAAATAACAATAGGAAGCTGGGAGTGGTGGCACATGCCTGCAATCCCATATAATTTGGGAGCTAAGGCAGGAGGATCAGGATTGCACTTCAGGGCTAAATGGGCAACTCAGCAAGACCCTGTCAAAATGAAAGGGACTGGGGATGCAGCTTAGTCACCCCAAGGCTCTCTGGGTTTCATGTAAAGCATTGCAAAAATAAATATTTCAGAAACAGCAAAAAATAGTTTCTCTTTCCCAAATTTCTAAACAAACAGAGCTTCATGGCCATTCATTGAGCAGTGGAGTTCTTTTTCCTTAACCCTCCTATTAAATGATCTGAGTGTATGGCTTGTTTGAAGTCCTGATTGACTCCAGGTTGGGTTTGAACTTGGAGTCCTCTTGCCTTAGCCTTGCACACCCACATTGTGCTGCTTTCTTTTGATTTTTTCACTTGGTGTATCTTTTACTGTAAAAATACCTGTATTACTACACATAAAATGAATTTCCTTTAGTCTGCATATAATTGGGTCATGATTTATTGTGCCAATCTTTTAAAAAAATTTTTTTTAATCAGAGATTGAACTAGGGACCTTGCCCTTGTGAGGCAGGTGTCAGAACTACTGAGCTAAATCCCCAGCCCTATATGCCAATCTTTTTAAATTGCTGTCTTTCAACACTTTATATTTGATGTAATTATTACTATAATAGGGGTTGAGTCTGCCATTTCTGTTTTGTGTCTTCATTTTTTTTTCTCTGTTACTTGTTCCTTTTTCTTTCTATATATAGTGTTTTGAGTTTATCTCATACAGATATTTTAGTTGTTGCTCTAGGTGTTATGCTATATTTGCATGATCATATATAGTCTCCTATTGACATAGGAGAAATACAACTACACACCTGCTAGATGTCAGATGTGCCGAGTTTGTGTCCCCGGAATATTGAAGAT